AAACAGTTTCCTCAGCATTTTTGAAAAGAATTCTTACTTTGGAAGACAACTGATTTCTAAAGTGGATTAGCAGTGGATCTTGGCTGCAAAAGGCTCAGCTCAGAAGCTATCAGTGTTAGCACTAATCTCCTAAAATACATATCAATACATACATTTTAGAGGATCGGTTTTAAAGAGTTTCTTTGGGTTTTGTAGAATATCATCAAACCATTTCCTGGTGTTTATTTCTTGATAAGAAAAGAAATTGGGTTTAGGAACAAACCTGGACGGAAATCCTGAGAAGATCCACACTAAGTATCAACCAGGAAACAGGGAGGGAGGAACAAATACTCCAACTGGATGAACTGTTGTTTAGAACATTTCAATGTTCCAGTACATATACTGGCCAATTTTGATATCAGAAGTTGTTGATTTAATTTTCCCTTTAAAAAAAGCTGTCCAAAAAGAAAAATAAAAGATGACACAAAGAATTTTGGTTTTTTAATTGTAAGCCTCATTCAGTAGGATTTCTTTTTAAAAAATACACCTCGAATGAGTTGTGAGGTATTTTCTTTTTTAAAAAAACTTTTTTTTATTTTATATAAATCCATCCATATTGGTTTAACATCGTGTCACCAGGGTACAGCTTATAATCATTTGTAAAACAACTACTACACACATTATACTCCTAATCTATACAACATCCTTCTAACCATTGATAGAATAAGTCTCATGTTTGGTAATATTTTGTATCTTCTTTTCCTTTGATTTTCAGTGTTAGTCTGTCCATTTCGGCGCAGTTGTGAGGTATTTTCTGATTCCATGAGCATTCCAATGAATTGAGAGATAGAAGTATGGTTAGGGTTTGATGTACACATCTCACATTTCCTAAACTCATTGAAAATGCCGTTGTTCTCCCCTGCAATGAGGCCAACCATTTGACAATCAGAGTATATCACTTCTGTATCTTGGCATCATGAGTTGTTGAAAAACCCACCCACTATCCAAAAACATTACATTATCCAGGACAAAATGGTATTCTAGCAGCAAAATGCAATAGATTTCTTGAGACATCTTTAAATTTAAATAAAACAAAATAAACTGTATGTGAGTAGCTGAAACTCTGGGGTATTGTTTCCAAGCATTTGTGTAACAATGTCACAAAATGTTTATCTTGTAGATCTAATTCTGTGTAGGTTTTGCATTAAAATTTGACATAATGGGAGGTAGAATGAGTCATGAGGGCTGAACCAAAATGCTGTGTCACAGAACTCATTGAAAAAAAGTGCTTGTTAAATAATGTTGCCTCCATTTTAAAGATAGATTAGGGAGAGAGGGGTGGAGGGAAATAGATCTAGAAAAATTGAAGAACTGGAGTAGTGTCTGAAAGAGCCAGGTGTGAAAATGACAGGAACGACTGAATGTATGGACAGATAAGAGACAGAAAGGGACTTTTCGTAATTTGGTCCATTCCCCCTACCATCCATACTGTTTAGGTGATTTGGATCCTAGTGTTGGACACTATCCTTCAGAAATTCCTTCAGCTCTGGAGTGTCAATAGAAAACCTTCCCTCAGAAATCTCTTGGGAGGGTTTATTCTTTCAAGACAACAAAGGAAGTTCATGGTTGTGAACATTATCCACTACTGCTGATAGTCTAGCCTGAAAAGTAACGCTAATTTATTTTTGTTGTATATATAGTTAGCATACATCATATTTGACTAATACAGTATATTTATTCTGCTATACAAAGAAAAAATATATAGAAATTCATTTCACTATTTGCAAGTTTTCTTGGAATAGGAGCTACACAAATGTATGTTTACAGTTGTAAAAATGGTTGCCATGGTTTTCTCTAAGACAGTAGGAAAAATACAAAATGGTTCACAAAATCATAGAGTCATCAGATGTATGCCTTAATTGGGCTGAAAGAAAAATAAAATTCCAGAGAGCACACTACTTTTTTCTAAATGCTATATTTTACCTGCCGGGTAGGTGGGGCTCGTCAGCCATGGAAGGCAGCCCATCTAGGAGAAGGAAAACTCCAATTTCAAACCTCCACTGCCTTGTGGCTATATCCACTCATGGAAAAGGCTTCAGGAGTTAACCTCGAGGCAAAATCCGGAGCTGGAGTCCCGAAGGCAGCATGTGTCGTTCTGCCAACTCCTGCGACATTGCTGGAACCAGTTGTATTGGCTCTTGCCTTTCCATTGGACCATTTCAGCAATGTGGAGAGGGGGGATCTGCTGCTTGGGTAACAGCCTATCCTCCATATTACCTTACCCGGGCTTCATGCTCTGGAGAGGACACTCCTCGATTCAGAGCATGTTAACATAGTCTCTCGAGACTGAAGGATGCCTATGTTATTTTACCTATATCTGTACAATACAACCTTTGTAATGGATCCCACTGAACTTTCAATTAGGAAATACCAGAATGAAACAAAAATCACTAGAAGTGACAGACAAATCATAACCTCAGCTTAATTCAGCTTCAAAGAGTTGTATCCCATGGTTTCTTGTCCATGAAACAGCACCCATCAGTGGAACAATTTATCCCACTTTGCAGTCCCCCATACTGACCAAAAGCTCTTCAACAGATATAGGGAAGGGAAACTTTTGTGCAGGTGGAAGTTCATTCACTCAGTGTTGTATTTCACTCAACAATTGTGAGAAAATAAAATAGTGCAATTCCAGATGTATCACTCTGAATTCTTTGGAGATCAACAAAATCTGATCATCAAAATGCACACAAGACTCCTATTATATTTGGTTAGTTTGGGCTTTGAGAGCATTGCTTTGGAAAGCACTGGCTATGGAAAAAAAATAAAGGAAGGAATTAAATACCTGACATATCTGCATGCAAGACAAATAAGTTATTCAGAGGACAGAGTTCTGACTCCTGTCCTCTGAAGATGCTGGCCACAGAGACTGGCGAAATGTTAGAAAGAACCTTCAGAACACAGCTAAAGAGCCCGAAAAACCCACAACCATCAGATCCCGGCCGTGAAAGCCTTCGAGAAAACATGAGTTATGCTTAAATTGGTAGTCAATGTTGCTCATAATTAGTTAATGTGTTTCAGCTATTTAGACAGACTTCCCTTGAAACAGGTGCTTTCTGAATCCTATCTAAATAGCTGAAACTAAGCTACCACCTCATTTATACAAGCACTTCAGCCTTCTTAGACTTACTTCTTACAAATTAATGAGATGGTAAAATTGTGTTTGGACAGTACCACAGCACCACAGGTAGTGTCACACAACTGAACACTCTTCAGTAACACACACACACACACACACACAGCTTTTAATCTGCTTCACATACAATTTGTAGAGTGGAATACTCTACTTCACTTCCTTACAACGTAGTTTTATGTACCACCTTTTCCTCCAAAATTTTTATGGAAAATTCTATCATGCAGCTGTTCCCCTGTAGTCTGTTGTGGTATAATGCAGTTACTTTTTAAGCCAAGACATGGGGATATAATAATGAGCAAATCCCCTTGCACTACTGGAATGTGGTTCAAGAGATCATTGTCTATAACCTGACTTGAGTGAGCAGAATCAACACTACTGACACTTCAGATATTGCTCTGTTTAAAGTGTGTGTGTGAATTCTACCATTAGGAGTCAACAATAATTCACACATTTCTTCATATTTAGGATGAAAAAAACATTGAAATTTGGGAGAAAAAAATGAAATGATAGTGTTTCCCATCACCAATTTCAGCCATATCTCTGTTTGTGTAGGAAGTACCTTCCCACTTTTTATTCTATCAAAAAGAAGGAAAAAAACTGGCAAACAATATTAAGGGTGACAGAGGACTCCATTCTTTGAGGCTCTATTCATCCCAAAGCCATATTGAGCTTTTTTCTGGTAGAACAAAAATAGTGGCAGAGACCTTTTAGTTTATAGCTCCTGTTCACAATTTTTGCAGTTAAACCTCATTCACATAATGTTTTAAGTCATAAGGCATTTTCCTAATCCAGTACACACATTTGTCCCAACGTCAAAATAGCTTTTTGGGGACTGGTTTGTCCTAGCTATTTTTCGTCTGCAAAAACAAAAACAAATTGTACAGCAAGTTCCTGAAGCAACTGTGTAGAATGTCCGCCTTGTGTAAATTCCATAAGAAATTCTGCAACCTTTGTAATTCTGGGGGACTTAAATGTGCCATCTGGGTGGATGGGGCTTTTAAAAATAATTTTCATAGAAAGGAGTTAGGTGTGCTCAAAAGTTTCAATTCAATTATTAGTCCTAATTAGAAAAATCTACTCTGCTTTCAATATGTCTTACATATTGACTCAGTAAATCCCATTCATTCAGTGGATCTGCTCAAACAGGGTCTACCAACTGGGTTATGTCTGTAATATGTGGTCCAATAGAGCTGCATTTTTCTTCTCTGCAAGCTACCACACTATTTATTTATTTATTGAGGCAGGATATTCCAATTTGAATGGAAGCCACCAAATGAAGAAATAAATCTGTGATGGGTGGGCTGGATTTACAGCAGCAATCTGCGATTGGGTCTCACTGTCCAAAGTTTGAACATTGTCAGTGACCTCAATAGAGGAGTTGATTCATCCAGTGGCTTCAGGGATGTGGTTCCTGGGATAACTGGATTTAAGTTCTGAAAACCTATCTTGAAAGCATTCAATATTAGAGTGCTTAACCAGCTAACTCTTCTAGTTTGTTTCTAAGATCCATCTGTACAACCTTGGAGAATCTAAATTATCTTTTTAAAAGAAAAAAGCATAAAAAAATATCTTGCTACTAAATGCCATTTATAGTTATGACTGAACCACAAATCCTTCTCTTGTATACTGCTCTCCCTCCTTCAAAATCTGATTCAAATACAATGTGAAAAAGTAACTGTTGCCTTAGAAAACTAAAGAAAGTACTCCACACCTTAACTTTGTTCGAAAGTAAATTAAAAAAGCAGAAAATAACTGCTCCAGTCTTGTACTGTAATTGCATAATATCTACTTTGGTTTATTTGGAGCTAAATGCCATTGTGTTCAATAATGCTTTCTTCAAGAAAAAAACATAAAATAAATATTGATTTATATGCATTCACTACAAGTTTAAAATTCCATATTTTTTACAGAAACCATACATTTCAGGAATGTGTTTAACTTGTATTTATCAGTGTTAAGAAATAGTCATGTTAATATACTGTGGACCAGCAAATGACAAGTGAAGTACAAGATAACATAAGCATTCATTTTGTACATTCAACATTAGATTTTGGGTGTAACGCTGTAACTTCTTTCAGTATAACACAACCCAGTCTTGTTCATCAGGTTAGGTGACTAAAGTGACACCAGAACACTAAACCTGTATTAAATAAAATAAACCACAACAATCTTGCTCAGAATGCTAACTTCTTTTCTACCTTTTTTCCTCAATGAAGACTGAACACAACAAACTTTATTAGATGTGACTGCTTTCTTTTGTATCCTTTCAAACTCTGCTGTACTGATTCTTGGCACTTGAGATCACATCACGTTTGCTATAATGCCTTCCTCTTTCTTTGGAATTAGTACCAAAATGAAATGAAAAATGTGTGGCTTCTGATTGTTTTGAGTTGCCTTAAAGCCAACACCAACAGCAAAACTTCGCTGTTCAGAGATTTGTTTGAGTTCGAAAATGTATTTTGAATCGTTCAAAACCCTTATAAGGGAAATAACCCATTGGCAGAACGATCAAACTTGTCAAATGGAACACTTAAGGCGACTTTGCAATAACTTGAGAGGGCGGTGGACAATAAAATGGAGGGGGGGGGGAGGAAGCAGCCTTCTACGCCAGCGGGATCTCAACGCTCTCCAGCAGCAGGACAGGGGTTTCCATACTTCCAACTCGCGGCATCACAGAGAAAGTTGGCACCGCGCGTCTCGCTAAGGATGATCGCCCCAGATTGACTGTTCATGTACATCAACAACGGGCTCGAGTTTCCTGCACGCTTCACACGGCAAATGGTGGGTGGTGGTGGTGGTGGTTGCTGACGGCGATGCTATTTCAAAGCGAGCACGGGACGCTGATGTGATTGGGAAGCAATGACTTTGTTTGGAGCGAGGTGGGCCCCAAAACTCGCCTCCCGCGCCCGCCGTATCTGCTCGGGCTTCCTTTCTCTTTGTACCGCTCGCGCCGAGCCCCTGGTAGGCGTGCTCTCGTGAAGGCGCCGCATCGCTCCTGCAGCCGCCAAAGGAGGCAAACCAACCCCCACCATGAGACCCTACCAGGCGTGCAACCCGCCCAGGCAGGCTACGAGGGGCGATCGGGAGGGAAGGGGGTGGGCTGTACATCCAGGCTCCTCCTTGTCCCTGAAAATCTAACAAAAACAGGCCCGCGAGAATCAATGAGCAAACACAACAGGAAGGGGGACGGGGGGGGGGGGTGGATGCCAAAAAAACTACACATACACACACGCACCCCTCTTTCTTCGTTTCCTAAAAGCCAAGCAAAGTCCTCCGGACACCCTCCCTTTTGCACTCCAGGACGATCATGGATGCCACCGGTTCTCACCCAGAAGCGGGCTCCCTCGAGAGTAACCTTCCAGGCTCCAGTCGTTTCTTCTCAGTAAGCCCGACCTTCTCCCACCCCATGGTCCTCCAGGGCGATGGCTAACTCCACGTTGGGGGGGGACGGACGGACGGACGGACGAATCTTTCATGAAGCTGCAGGTCACTTTTGACGTGAGTTCCAGACCGTACATACAAACCCAGCCACATCCAAGAGACTGTCCTCTCTTCGTAACTCTTTACTCAGGAGTAAGCAGGTTCCCGTGGGTTCAGCCACCAAGTACGCGCCTGCCAGCCGGATGCTGCGCAGCCTTTGAAATGCCCCTAGCTCTTAAAATCAATAGTTTTAGTCATGCCTACTTCTGATCGTAGACGGGCACACCTACTCGGGAAGATGTGCAACGGCCTTCAGGGAGATTGAGCAAGGATGCGTATGGCTGCAAAGATCGGGTTGCAGACGTTTGTTTCCTGCACTCTTTCTGCTTAATGGGCGGTAATTCCCGAAACAGCCCTTTCTCGAGTCACACCGAAGTTATCCGACGGGACTACTTCAAAGTAAGGGATTTAAAAGCTCCCTGGCCATCAGAAGACCCTGCGATTTCCCTCCCTGAGGTGGGTACAAATCCCTTTTTTCTCCCACGCTCCAAACGTCGACCATGGGAACATCACAGGCCGATAAAGGGCCGAGTGGTTCAAAGCGGTTGTTCAATCTTCAGGGTTAGACAGGACTAAAGCAAAGTGGGAAACGGAGGTGAAACTTCAGTTTGTTTTGCTTTTTTTACTGAGAGCTGGAACCGGCTCCTCGAGCGCATTTCGCACCTGCTTCACCTCCTGAACTACTTTTTTTAAAAAAAGGGGATGGGGCTAAACAGAAGTGGGGGGGGTGGAGGAAGGCCGTTTTCCTGCAACGACACGCTGCTTGCTGTTAGGCAGAGTTCAAATCTGCCCTCGCCTCCCTCCACAGCAGAATCCCTATTGCAGATTCTGTAGTGCGTATAGGATGAATCGGAGCTCGCCTGCCGCGGGAGGAGCGAGCGTAGTAAGGCATCGGAGGAACTGTAGTAAGAGGAGGCGGGGTGGGCGGGGCTTGGCCAGGCGTGGGCGGGGAGGGCGCTGATTGGGCGGCGTGGCGCTCGGAAGCACTTTGTTTTCTATGCTAATGAGGGCGGAGTGGAAGCTTGTGGATATTTACGTTGAGGCGGGAGCCACCGCCCTTCATTTTTTTTTAATCCACATGGTTTTCTTTTCCCTTCCTCCCCCCCCTCCCCGCCTCCTATTCGCGCTCGCCCGATGCCGCCGCCATCGTCAGGGCCGCCACCGCGGTCTCCTCCCCCTACTTCCCGCCACTTCCCTGCGCTCTCAGGCAGAGGGGGGGAGGGGGTGGGGCGGGCGTTGAGAACGGCGGTTGGTTGGTCGGTCGGTCGGTCGCGGGTGAGTTTTGAGAGCCCGGGAGCCAGCGGCGGTTGCTGTTGCCGCTTATAGTGTCGACGACTTTCGGTTGGAGAGGACGCGGCTGAGGAGGCGCAGGAGGGGGTGGTGGTTCTTGTGCGCCTGTTTTAGGTTGGCTGTGACGGGAGAGGGAGGGGTGGGGTTG